AAACAAATAGCCCAATCAATAAATGGGCCACGGAACTGGACAGACACCTTTCAGAAGATGATATACAATCAAACAGCAAATATATGAAAAAATGTTCAGCATCTCTAGCAATTAGAGAAATGCAAATCAATACTACTCTAAGATTTCATCTCACTCCAGTCAGAATGGCAGCTATTAAGAACACAAACAATAAGTGTTGGCAAGGATGTGGGGAAAAAGGCACACTCATACATTGCTGGTGGAACTGCAATCTGGTGTAGCCAATCTGGAAAGCAGTATGGAGATTCCTTGGAAAACTGGGAACAGAACCACCATTTGACCCAGCTATCCCACTCCTTGGTCTATACCCAAAGGACTTAACAGTATACTACAGGGACACAGCCACATCAATGTTTATAGCAGCACAATTCACAAATAGCTAAACTGTGGAACCAACCTAGATGCCCTTTCAATAGATGAATGGATAAAGAAAATGTGGTGTATATATATATACACAATGGAATATTACTCAGCAATAAAAGAGAATAAAATCATGGCATCTGCAGGTAAATGGATGGCATAGCAGAAGATAATGCTAAGTGAAGTCAGCCAATCCCCCAAAACCAAATGCCAAATGTTTTCTCTGATTTAAGGAGGCTGATTCATAGTGGGGTTGGGAGGGGGAGCATGGAAAGATTAGATGAACTCTAGATAGGGGAAAGGAGTGAGAGGGCAAGGATTGGGGCATGGGGGTAAAAAAAAAATGGTGGAATGAGATATCATTACCCTAACTAAGTACATGTATGAAGACATGAATGTTGTAAATATACTTTCTTTATTTTTAAAATATTTATTTTTTAGTTGTAGTTGGACACAATATCTTTATTTTACTTACTTATTTTTATGTGGTGCTGAGGATCAAACCCAGGGTGATTTGGGTTTGATATCAAGAAAGTATATTCACAGGCTGGGGTTGTGGCACAGCGGTAGAGCTGAACCACAACCCCAGCCTGTGAATATACTTTCTATAAACCAGAGATATGAAAAATTGTGCTCTATATGTGTAATATGAATTATAATGCATTCTGCTGTCATATATAACAAATTAGCATAAAAAAGAATTACATTGAAAAAAATCTAGTACATTCTCTTTGACTAAAAGCAAAAATAGTAAAGGAAAATGAGTGGTTTATCTTCATTTTTAGTACCGATGTAAATAATCCAGAAAGTCAAGAAATAATAAAATGGATACTTCTATACTTCACTTTATTTTATAAACTTGATGATTCATGTACCTTTTATTGAATAAAGTGGAATAAACTGACATGCTACTATTATGATCCATCAGGATTCTGTATTCACTCTCTTCGATACCCATTGACAGTGTATTCTAAGGTAAACTTAACTATTAAATAATTGCTTTGGCTCTTCATTGGCTCTAAAAAGTTACAAATTTAAGTAGGTTTCATCAATAATTTTCAACATACATAGATTTGCAATCACTATACCATTCCAATGGTGATTTTCTATTCTGATAGCTTGTGTGTGTGTGTGTGTGTGTGTGTGTGTGTGTGTGTGTACTGGGGCGGGGATGGGAGGGAGTTACTGGGGATTGAACTTAGGGGCACTAAACCACTGAGCCACAATTCCCAGCCCTATTTTGTATTTTATTTAAAGGCAGGGTCTCACCGAATTGCTTAGTGCCTCGTCACTGCTGAGGCTGGCTTTGAACTTGCCATCCTCCTGAGCTGCTAGGATTACAGGTGTGCACCACCATGCCCCACTGTATATTTATTAACAGGAATTCTATAAGGAAGAGTTGTCACTCATCTCTCATTTGTTTGTTCACTTGCTTATGATCAAAATGGATTCATGAATATTTACTCCGCTCACTGGGCTATGATCTATACTACTGTTTTACTTTGTTATTCAAATTGTTCCATTGGGAACACTTTCAGCTTGGCTCCTGTGCTCTTGTTCAATATACTCCCATGTTTTTAATATCTGAAACCACAATTTACTCCAGGGTCATCTTTGTAGTTTCATTACTCCAGCCCTGGATTTAAACAGTTCTACAAAAAGCCCTGGTTCCTTTACTGCAGAATGGTATCTGGAAGCCAAGACCAGATACTAGTAGCATTCACTGTTTCCAGGCTAAGAAAGCAGAACAAGGGCTGTGGATGTGGCTCATTGCTGAGCACTTGCCTAGCATACATGATGCCCTGGATTGAATTCACAATAAAAATAAAACAAATAAACAAAGCAGAAAGAAATATTTGTATATACACATATTTATGCTATATTTATATGGTGTATGTAAACATTTCCCCCTCCCCCCCAAAATCCCATCTGTCCACAAACCTTTACCCTACTATTTTTTCCCCTCACAATTACTGTCACTTGTTACTCGTTCCCTATTCAAAAGTAATTCCTATGAAGCTCTTGAAATAATCACAAGATCCTGTTGTGCTAACAGGAAAGTCCCTTCATGATTTTGATCCCTATCATTCCTATATTGACTGCATCTCATTGCCTCTGTTGCACACCTTTGCGCTAGAACATTTATTCAGAATTACTGAAAACAAGGAAGAGAGACAAATATTTCTTTCAGCTGCAATATTTCTACCAGTGACGGATATGTACTTTGCAATTTGCTTCAGGTCTAACACTTGTAAAACAGCACAATGCTGCTGTTCTTTTTTTTTTTTTTTTTTTTAAATGTTTTTTTTTTTTTTTTTTATTTTTTTATTTATTTATTTATTTTTACACATCTTTGTTTGTATGTGGTGCTGAGGATCGAACCCTGGGCTGCACGCATGCCAGGCGAGCATGCTACCGCTTGAGCCACATCCCCAGCCCCAATGCTGTTATTCTTAACCTCACTTTTTTGCCTTTGCTGTACTGATTTTTTTATATATATGTTATCTATTTAAATGTGTGGACATTATACATGCTAATCTTCCAGTGATCAGTCACTGGAAGTTTTCAAACACATACATTCATTTTTCTAAAATCATTTCTGTTCTCTGTTCTATCCCCTTCTCATGTTCTGATCTTTTCTGAATTTCTTTCATAAACAACAGACCCTTATTCAGAATTAGCATGTTTTTGTTTTCATTGCTAACCAATGGTCTTGAACCCTATTTCTTGTATTTATTATTCTGCTTCTGCTTCCTGGATAGAGTGTAATATTCAATAATACAAGCAGAAAGGATCTCTTGCTCGTTAATTTTCTGTATGTATCTGTATATCTGAAAATGCTTTTACATTCTGACATTACACTTAAATGATAAATCAGCCGGTACAATTCAAAGCAAAATGTAAATTCTCACATAACTCTTTTTTTTAATTTTTATTGTTGGTTGTTCAAAACATTACATAGTTCTTGATATATCATATTTCACACTTTGATTATTCTCACATAACTCTGAAGATGTACTCCACTGCCTTCTTATATCTAATGCTGTTAATGTTAGAAAGGCTTATGGTCAATTTGGTTCTCATTTCTTTGTGTATGGTCTATTTTCCACCTCAAGTTATCTGTGAATAATTATTATTATTATTGGTAGTAGTAGTAGTATCAGGAACTGAACTTTGGGATACTGTAACACTGAACCACATCCCCAGCCCTATTTTGTATTTTATTTAGAGAGTCACTGAGTTTCTTAGAGCTTTGCTTTTGCTGAGTCTAGTGTTTGTTCCTTGGTGTATGTTCTGAAATTTCACCAAGATCCTGCTTAAAACTCAGTTTTTCTCCAATTCTGAAAAGTGATTTTATATTATTGTCTTTTAAAACTTTATTTATGTTGCAAAATATAAATATTATTAGACATATATAACTGAAAATATTACTAGACATATGTATAAAACTGATAGTTTGATATCATTATTTAAATTTATTTCCCCACACTTTCTATTTTGTCCTTTTTATAAGACATTTTGGGAAACTCCACTTTTTCTGACCACTTATTAAATTTTACTAATTGAGATTTCCAAGTTGATTTTTTAAAATGTATTTACTGTATTTATTTTTATGTGGTGCTGAGGATGGAACCCTCCACCTCACATGTGTGAGGCAAGTGCTCTACCGCTGAGCTATAACCCAGCCTCTCCAAGTTGATTTTTATGGATATAATATCCTCTTGCATCTGTCTTACTTAATCTACAATTCTAATTTCTTTTAACTATTCAAGTTATTCTGTTAATTACTGAGCATAATGCCTCTATTTATTCAAGTTGTTTTATTACACTTAGTGTCTTTCACTTTGTTGGTTTCTTTCAAGTGTTTGGTTATTTCCTGATTTTGTGCATCTTTGCATTTAAAATCTTGCCACATTACTTTCAAAATCACATCTCCTTGCACAGCTGGCCTCTAGGAGAAAATCTGGCAGTCAAGTTTAAAGTTGGTCTATACAGAATATACAAGTAGCTAGTTTTCTAGACAGTTAAGTTCTCCCTACACCACCTTTGTATTGCCATTAATGAAGAGCATGATACTTCTTATTAATTCAAGAGTCTATACCTAGTTACTATTATAATCTGACACTTTCTTCTAGATCCAGAGCATTTTTCTATAGCCTAGTAGCTTTTACACATGTACATGAGGAAATGCGTATATGAAATTTCCTAACAGTTCTTTGTAACAGTAGAAGACTCGACCCAGTTATTACCATCAGTAGGTAGATACATAGTGTGGTACCTTAATAAAATGAAAGCTTATGTCATAGTAAAAATAAACTTCTGCCACCAATGTCCTTGGGTTTAATCCTCATATTAGTAGTTAAAAAAAAAAAGGAAAAACACCAACAGGCATTAAAAACTATAATGAACAATTGGGCAGGGTGGTGCATGCCTGTAACCCCAGCGACTTGGGAGTCTGAGACAGGAGGATCGTGGGTTCGAAGCCAGCCTCAGCAACAGTGAGGTGCTAAGCAACTCAGTGAGGCCCTGTCTCTAAAATACAAAATAGGGCTGGGGATGTGGCTCAGTGGTTGAGTGCTTTGGAGTTCAATCCCAAGTACCCCGCCCCCACTAAAAGGGGGGGGTGTGAAATATAGAGAACAATGACAGATTCCTAGATGAGTTCACCCTCTAGGAAGGAGGAAGGAAAATGGCAGGTGGAGGAGGTGGAGGCAGGCAGTGGTGGCAACTCACTCTTTTGTTTTGTGGAATCAATAAGGTTCTATTTTAACCTAGGTTTTGGGTATATGTGTTTGCTATTTTTTTGACCATAATTTGTTTTACATGTTTTCAGTATATGACAATTTGCCATATTAAAAAAAATAAAAGCAAAACAAACAAAAACTCGAAAACCAAAATAAAACAAAAACTATTTTTTCGTGCTTATTTAACAGCTATAAAACAATTGTCCTAGTAGCCATACATTATTTTACTAAAATTGTTCCATATAATTGACTAATAATGTATTGAGAGTAAGTCTTAGTGTCACAATAGAATATAGCTCAGTTACCATGTTTGGAATCTGTGTTCATTTGGAAAACAGAACGGTGATTGTGGTATTTCTTCTGTATTAATCTGCTCAGGATGCCATAAAAATACCACAAACTGGGTAGCTTAAATAGGATCTTATTCTCTCAAAGTTCTGGGGCTTGAAGTCTAAGATCAAGATGCCACCATGACTGATTTCTGGAGAGGGGTCTCCTCCTGACTTGCAACAACCACTTCTCACTGTGTTTATATATGGCAGAGAATGAATTTTTTGATGCCTCTCCCTTAAAAGGACACTAATCCTATTAGACAAAGGTCCCACCCCTTATACCCACATTTAACCTTAGGTACTTCCCTTAGAGGTCACATCTCCAAATACCACCTACAGTAAGGGGTTATAACTTCAACATATTAATTTTGGAGGTACACAAAACATTTAGTCAATAATACTTTCCTAATTCAAGATTATTACTTTCCTTTGATTATCAACATCCTGGATATGCAAACAGGTATGTCACCCCAATTAGACAATTACCTGGAATAAGAATTTTATGACCTCAAGCAACAACAAAAGAGGAAGCTCAGGAAGAAATGGACTCAGGAAGAAAAGGCAAGAGCCAAGTCTGGTGGAAAGGAGGATTAAAAGTGAACTTCAGTTATTCTTCCACAACTCAGGCTTCACAGTTTTGTTTTGTTTTTTATTTATTCTTTTTTTTTAAATAAGAAACATACTTAAGTTCCTAATTGCTTTAGGAGATACAGAAGAAATAGGAATGGAGTGGCAAAGAGATAGTTTATTCCTAAATGCCCATATTTCCTTACAGTTATGAATCAGGATTATAGACTAGCCCACATAAAGTCTTAAACCATAAGGTAAAACTGAATTCATATATGGTGGGAGATGTGGCTCAGTGGTAAAACACTTGCTTGACTAGCATGCACAAGGACCTGGGTTGGTTCCTCAGCACTGAAACACCACCAACAAAAAATATATAATGTCATAGAAGGACTTTAGGTAAATCACTTTATCCCTCTCAATTTCTTCACATGTCAATTACAAGATAAATGAGCTCTTAAAATCTAGTACATGTTCATGTGCACATGTGCATCCACTGATGTGTTAATGAAATGCCTACACAAATATGTCTTCTGATGTTAAAATTACAAATCTACTAATAAAAGAAAATTTTAAGAAATAAATTATAACCAACTAACCTTCTTCTGTTGCGTGCAGGTGTGTTGCATCGTTCCCCTGAGAAGTGATGTTGGCTTGGTCGAACTGAAGGGGGCTGCCTATTTGATGTCATCTCCCATGGTCGCATTGGTGGTGAGGGAGCTGGTGATGCTGATGTATAATCAAAGACTGAATGAGAGAGGCGCTGTCTCTTAGGACTCGGACTATCTTCACTCTGCCAATGCAACAAAATCAATCAACTGAATAAGGCCTTTTAAGGATTTCATAATACTGCATATGCATAATTATTTAAATATATTTACCCCCAAAATGTAAATGAGAATACACATGCACTATAAATCTAAATGTAAAGCCCTAAAGAAAATGCTATTTAAGGTAGAAAGAAGTGAGATGCACAACAAATGAAAAATTAACTTTTTAAAAAATTAATGATAAAATGTCAGGTAACAATATATAAGGCATATGATAGTGCAATGAGCTTTAATATAGTACTTGACCTTATCTTTAAAATCCTAATCAGCTTGAGAAATTCTACCATGCTCTTTGCCAATTACCAGTTAATCATCTAACCATCAATTGACAAGTTCAAAGTTTGGTTTAGGATACCCCCCTCCATCTCACAGGCCCTCAACTTGCTTCTAAATTCTACTACTATTACCACTACTATTCTCTCTCTGTTTGGGCTACTATACATATATTTTTTAATGATAATTACATAGATAAAGTAAGATTTATATGAAATAGAAATAGTCAACTAATATAGATCATCATTTCCTAATTAAAATGTCATAGCACTTTGGGATTTGTCATTTTCAAGGCTCACAGTATGGGCTTACTAGCTATAAAACTGATATGATCACTTAATTGCATTATTGACTTTCCAGGATTCTCCCCATCCAATTTGATTTTTCAACTGAGTCTTACAAAAGTACAAACTAGCTGAAAATCTGAGAGGGCTGTTTTCTAACAGACCTATTTTCCAATCTACTCCTACAAGTTCTAACTACTTAGATATTAGGGTACAAATTTAGGTTGCAAAAAAAAAAAAGAGAGAGAGATTCCTATTACATGCACAAATGTCATATTAAAACATTACCCAAAAGAGTGCACATATCTACATATTACAATGTAGGATTTTTTTAAAGATAAACACAAAACAACTGATTGCTTTCTTTAAATTGGGCGGAATGAAGCAAATTGCCAAATGATTACATTTGATCATTCCAAATTATTCAGCAGAGATGTTCCAAAAGTCATGCCATTTTCCTTCTATATTTAATATTACAATTCAATTGTCACAATACAAATAGAAAATAGTTCAGAACCATATATGAAAGAGTATGCTTTATAGAGTATGATATTAATTTATCTTAATGATACTATTAAAAATATGCCCGTTTTTACCTGATTTTAAGTTCCTATGTTCTAATAATCTCAAATTTTAAAAATGAAAAATACCCATTCAAACCTGAGATATTTTGATTTTTTAATAAAAGAACAGAGCAATTAAGACCTGAGAAACTAATAAAATAACCAATCATGAGCACCAGAAAAATAAGCTATCTCCATAGCTGGTTAAAAAAAAAAATTATTAGAGATTAAATCTAGAGGCATCTAATCACTGAGCCACATCCCCATCCCAACAGTGACTTTTTAAAGTAAAAAAGGTTGATCACTACCTTTCATATATATCTCCTACCCTGCACATACTTCTGCAAAGCCTGACATGGAACTCTGAATTCTAAAAATTTATGCATTCAACTTCATTCAAGATGGAGGTTAATGCTACAGATGAGCACGATAAAGATCAAATGAAATAAGAAAGAACTTTGGCTGGCTGTAAAGTTTCACATTTCACAATGTTCAAAATGTGGGTTAACAAGTTCATATTTTACAGAAAATGCAATGATTTAATAAGAGGTAAGGAAAGATGGCTGAGAAAAGTTCCTCTCCTTCTCTTTGTGCTATGATGATTTCACATAAGTAAAAAAGAAAAGACAAACAGAAGTGAAGGGAGGCGAGCTATTTATTCATTAGTTCTCTGGTACATCTTAATTTTTTTTACTGAAAGTAATAGGAAGCCAGGATGAATTCAGGGACAGGGAAACATTAAAAAGTATACTATATATATATATATATATATATACATACATATATATATATATATATATATATATATATATAAATAAATAAATAAAAGTATACTATATACAATGTGGTTTCATCACATCCTTATCAATTCTAGTAGTTTAAGGAGCTCAAAAACATCCTGTTTCCAGAAAAGGGAAGTGAAATAAACTACAAATAAATAAATAAATAAAAAAACACCAGAAGAAACAAAGGATACTAAAAATACTTTAAGGTAAGATAACATTGAATCTATAATTTTATACTCTAAACTATTAATCTCCAAACTATCAATCTGGTGAGGACAAAAACAAGAACTTGCCAGATGTACTGACTATTAAGACTTAAAAAATTGATTCTCATACATCAGAAAATTTTATGTATTTTATGTATATGCTTGACCATTTCCTCTCAAGATTTGAAAGAGAGATATATGTTCCAATAAAAGGTAGAATAAATACAAAAGTGCAATGAAAAGAAATCTCAGGAATCGCAATGCAGCAAGTCTGAAAAGTAATCATTCCAAATAAAAACAAGTAGTCAGGTGGCTCTAAGAAAAATGATCGAACTAAAAAACAGTATGTCTGTGATCATGGAAGTAATTAGTAAAATTTAAGCAAATGGCCCATGTTATAAAAAAGATAAAAGGCAATCAGAGTTCAGCAAAATAAAGGAAATCAATTCCATCTGATCTTGTATTCTAGAGCATTCTTTGAGTGGAATAGGTAGTAAGAAGATTACATTTCCTTCTCCATGGGCCAAATATGCTCTTCGTTCTGCAATGAGTAAAATTACTAATAACCCTGACACAATGAAGAATGTTTACTGATTTTCAATAATTAAAATCAACCTAGAACAAGGCATGAAGGATTACTGTTGTACTTCCTGAATTGTACTTTGATAAATAACTCTATAAAGACTTCTATTGTGACAAAAACCAGCCTAAATATAAAAATCATGAAACAAAGATCTAAAGACAGAAGATAAGGCATCACTGAGATCCTTGCAAGAAGTTAATCCAAAGCTATATACTTAATAATAGGAAAAGTCATCCCACTGGCATAGAGTCAGCAAGGAAACACACCTGGCTCTATCTGGATTAAGTGAAGGATGGATTTCTCTCTCAAGAACTTAAACCCAGGTTCATATCTCACATTAGAGTTGGAGTCTAAATTTCCCTATACATGCTGTGAATCTCTAAGCTTAGAAATTAAAATAAAAACTCATCTATAACCATGCTACTACAACTCTTGATAGAAGTAAACACAATGTTGAATATGGAGGGGATAAAAGATAACAGTTATTTTTTTTTCTTGTGGGGGGTTAACTAGGGGTTTGAGCTGGGGCGGGTGGTTTACTGGGGACTGAACTCAGGGGCACTCAACCACTGAGCCACATCACCAGCCCTATTTTGTATTATTTTATAGACAGGGCCTTGCTGAGCCACTTAGCGCCTTGCCGTTGCTGAGGCTGGCTTTGAAGTCAAGATCCTCCTGCCTTAGCCTCCCAAGCCACTGGGGATTACAGATGTGTGCCATGGTGCCCAGCAAAATAACAGTTCTTAAGACTTCTGCATATCTTGGAAACATCGGATTCTGGCCTCAGTCCCCAGTCTCTATATCATAAGGTTTGGGATTGACAACCACAAACTGGTGCTTCTAATATGATCCAAGGTGATGCCTGATGCTGCTTGTGTGAGACCAAACTTTGAGAACTACTAAACTAAGAGAGATAAGGGACTCTCTTTAAGAAAAAGCCTAAAAGGATAAATTGCTATAAAAGATGCTTTGAATTCTCAGGGGGAGAAATTCTTTTCTCTCATTGATTCTATGCCATGGACTGACTTTTCAAAATACCAGATGATAACAACTTAAAATTCATATGAAAAAAAAAAAAAAGAAAAAAAAATCATATGATACAGATTCAAATCAGGTACAAGTACTGTCCCTATTTGGTACTGAAACTGTAGAGAAATTATAATACAGAACACTGGTATGAACTAAGGATCAAGAGAGGTGAGAAAGAAGATGTGTAGGATTATACTTAGCATTAAGTGTCTGATAAAATGATTATAAAATTATACCTCTATTAATATCAAACCATTTTACAACCAATCATTATTAGAAGTGAAAACAACCCTGGAGGCAAGTGTTAAAAATGCATTCCACTGGAGTTAGAGAATATTATGCTAAGAAAAGTTATCCAACCCAAAAAACTAAAAGTCAAATGTTTTCTCTGATTAGTGGATGCTGATCTATGATGGGGGTGGGGGACATGGGAAGAATGGAGGAACTTTGAATTGGGCAAAGGAAGGGTGGTGGAGAGGTGTTATGGAAGTAGAAAAGATGGTGGAATGAGATGGACATCATTACCCTACTTGCATGAATGGTGCATCTCTACACCGTGTACAATCAGGACATAGAAATGTTGTGCTCCATATGTGTATGATGAATTGAAATACATTTTGCTGTCACAACTAGTTAAAAAAACAAACAAACATTTGCTTCCCACTGGGGCTGATCCTGCTCTCTATTCCAGCATCACCTGTGGTCCCAGTTCCTTGTTGGAAATAAGCATCATGTCAACCTTCATTACAGATTCTGGGGCCTTCTGCGATTCTCCCAGGACTGGCTGGGTGACCTCTCTGGAGCAATGTCTTCCTGGAAGAGCTCTCACTGGCACACATACAGTAGGACTTGTCCTCAGTGCCATGAAGACAGTTCTTAAGAAGAGGATATAAGAATGTGGCAATGCTCATGATTGGTGACCCAAGACTGCTTGATAACTGCAGTGACTGTGGGTCTCAAAAACGTCACTGTAATCCCTTGCACTGGCTCCAGACACTGCTGTGGAAATGACACTGCTGAATATTGCCGTCTCGCTTCATGATCTCTTTAAATTTGGTTTCACTCACTGTAGAGGGCAAAGGGCCCGAATGTTGTCTGCCATGATGGTTTTAGGGTGTTGAGTTCTCCGTGTAACGTATCTGGTGGAGGCTCCACTGTAGAATTTGGTGGGGGAGAAGCAGCCTGGATTTAGGTTAAGGGCAGGTGGGATAGCCTCAGGGGGAGGTACAGAGGAGGTAACTGAGGAGAGGAGGGGATGAGATGTTGATCGTAGATGGAGGGAGGAGGAGGGGGAGGAGGGGAGGA